TTCTTCCTTATTATCTTTCGAATCATTTATTTCATTTCTCGGCTTTAGGTTAAGTTCTTGGACTAGTCGAAGCATAAGTTTCAAATAATTTAGAAGTTCCATTACATACTAATTGATAAACTGAAGTTTGTTATGCACTTTGTTTGAAAATATCCATATGCTTTGACATTGATATAATTTTGACTAACATTCAATTGACTGATTCAGCGAACAAGTGGATACAAAATGGATAAATGAATACACTAAACAAAAAAAAAATCTTTTCTGCAGTCCGTACAAGTTATACCTGCGTCCTAATTGGAATTTCCAGGATCCTAGTCCCAGTCAAGACGGAGGTAGCAAGCTAGTAATCGAGTCATTTCCTTTTTTTTCTATTTTTGCCGAAATTTTAAGGAGCTAGTTAGATCCAGGACTAAATTTTACAATTAGAGGTTTTTTTTAGCGTATTAGAGGAATGGAAGGTATTTGTGTAAATATTTTTTTTTCTCTTAGCCTTTAACTATTTCGAGAAATTTGTAATATCTCTTCACTCAACATTATAATCATGATCGATATTATCCAAGATCACAGTTTTAAATAAACAGTCACGGAGAAAGCATTTGCTTGCAACAGAGAGCTCTTTCGTCAATATCATACCAGCTTTTAAATTTCCTGTCCTTCCATCTTTGAATTGATGTAATCTTCAAAAGCTCTTACCACAAAACATACTTTTTACTGCCTAAATATCCCAGTAAACACACACACATACATGCACACACACACACACACACACACACACACACACACACACACACACACACACACACACACACACACACACACACACACACACACACACACACACATGCACACGCACACGCACATGCACACACACACACACACACACACACACACACACATACATACACACACACGCATATATATATATATATATATATATATATATATATATATATATATATATATATATATATATATGTATGTATGTATATATATATATATATATATATATATATATATATATATATATATATATGTATATGTATATATATATATATATATATATATATATATATATATATATATATATATATATATAATATATATATATATTTATTTATTTATTCATTTATTTATATATAGATGTTTGCATTTATGATAAGATAAATATAACATACAACAAAAAACATATGAGGTTACACATATAACTACCTTAACTAGGTCATTTTAAAAGTGTCGGAATACTGCGTGCTCTCCGAAGCACTTCTTTTCTCCTGCAGTCAGCACTTTAAGCTCTGACATTAATTTACCACGCGCAGTCGCTTTCGTTGACAAATTCTTATCCTTAGAGAGAAAATTCATTTTAATCTCGGACCGTTTACGATGGTTAATAACGGCGCGAGAAAGGAAAAATAACGGTAATGACCCCCGGACGTCCAAGAATCATCCAAGCTGAGTATTCATTTATTAATGTTTTATAAAAAAAGATAATAGTTCTGGTTAGCCGCACAGATTACGATTAAAGGAGAGGATGAGAATCCCTTTCTGCCTTTTATAAAGGAGACGTAAGAACACTAGTCTTTATGGCGCAGGATAACCGACTTGGTATTAAGTCATTCGGAAATATCGAAAAAAATATATAAAACGTGCAGGCACTGTGTGGTTGCAGCTCAGTGTGGAATGATATTTAACAATCATCGAAAATATTTATGCGGCGATGAATAATACAGCAATCTTCGTCAGGAGATCGACATGCACATCAAACCCATTCACGGGCCCACGGCAACGTCATGCAATGTCGCTCCAACAGGTGTGAGAAGGTTAGCATGACTCAAGGTTGAAGTCCAATTCGTAAAGCAATATTTCCTCTAATAAATTTCCCAGGGTCTTCTGAGAAAGAGTATCTATGAAAAATGACAGGTAATAGAATCGACTCTGACACTTGCACATCGAATACCCCTGAGACCAATCAGAATAGCGACTGGAGGAATAATGAACTTTATTCAACGCGAATCAGTAGGGACAGACTGAGCTATCTCTCAGCAAGTCTTTTTTCGATATATAGCTGGGCGAAACTTGTGTGAAGATGCTCCTTTAATATTCACTAAAACGTCAAGTTGAATACTTGTTGTTCACAATACGAACAATGAGCTATGACCGAGTTAATGAATGTGTGATCAGGAGCTGTAAGATAGTTGTAATATGGATTTAAGTAAAAGTTTGAAGCACGTAATTTTCTTGTTAAATGTATAATGCCCGATGGATAGTGGTTTATGTAATATCTTAATAGTAGCCCTATTATAATGCTCAACACGACTTGCAACCGCACTGTGTCTTTTGCCAAATGTTCATTATACATAGTTTGACTTTGAACAGATACTATTCGTCTTGGGAAAGTGTTCTCTCTGTGAAGTTAGTGGTGGTGGCGATGGCATGGCGCGCTACAGTAATTTCGTTCCCCTGACCAAACCCCCGTTGCAGTGCCGCCCCTGGAGGTGACGGTGGACGGACTGGACGCCCCCCTCCGCGCCGGCATCGAGGCCATCCTCATGTGCCGCTCCGTCGGCTCCCTCCCCACCGCCAGCCTTTCCTGGCGGCTGCACGACTCCTCCAGCCTCATGCCTCTGCCTGCTCAGGTGGGTCTTTCCTTACTGATGAATCTTATTTAATATACCCGTGGACTTATCTGTGTCGCTCTTTTAACAGACAGGTTTTTTTTCATAATGTTCATAAACATAGATTAATGTCCCTCACAATCTCTCTCGGACTCCATCCTCTGCAGTCTTCGCTGGACCAGAACACGACCATCGGCCGGGGTCGTCTCCTCCCCACGCCGAGAGACAACGGCCGAGCCCTCACCTGCACCGCCTCCAACCCCAAAGTGAAAGAATACTCCCTGAACAGCACTCACACACTACAGGTGCTCTGTGAGTATAGGACCCGGGCCTTGGTGACTTCGGGAACTCTTACACCTCAACTTAATTATCCATGATTTGACTTATATTAGTTATCTTAATGGTGTGCAATAAACCTGAAAAATAACGTGATAATTCTGATGACTCATTTATACTAGGGGTACAGGAATCGGGGCAAAATATGAGGGAAAAAGAGATCCAGCAAAAGATAAGAACAAACTTCTGCCTGTAAACGTCGTAGTTTCTTATGAGTCGATATCTTATTGTGCCCAACGAAAAGACCTGGATGATCTAAAATTAGATTGTGCTGTAAGAGTGTGCGTTTGTAGCTGTGGTTTCCGCCATGGCCCACACAGTAGACTTAGAATTAAATTGTGTTGACTTTGAAGTCTGGCCGCAATATATTTTTATACAATTAGCTTTTGGATAATTCCCGAAAAAAGTTCAACGATTCCCGATTTATATGCAGAACGGATGACATATGCAAAGAAGAAATTTCATATCATATTAATTAGTGCAATATTGAAGGCATTCCTAAAAAGAAGCACAATATACCATGTTATTGTATGCGTGTGTGTGTGTGTGTGTGTGTGTGTGTGTGTGTGTGTGTGTGTGTGTGTGTGTGTGTGTGTGTGTGTGTGTGTGTGTCTGTGTCTGTGTCTGAATGATACGCGAGCATTATAACCCTCGTTTCTTCCCGCAGTTGCCCCCGAAGTGTCCGTCAGACTAGCGCCGGCGTTAGACCCTGACAACATCTGGGAAAAGGCTGATGTTTATTTTGAGTGTGTTATTCAAGCAAACCCAAAGAAAACGAGAGTCATATGGCTACATGAGGTAAGTAATGTTATATCTAGAAAGTTATGGTATTCAATGTAATATAAGGAGTTCACTATTTTTTTTAAAGCAAGAAACAGGGAGAGTCGTGAATGAGTGAGTGCTCATATGTCATATGGGTGTGTGCGTGTGTGCGTCCATGAGGTACTATCCACTCTCTCGCACTCTCTCCTTCCTGTGTCTGCGCTAGGGCCGAGAGCTGCGAGGCGACAGCGAGGACGGCTTGCTGGCCGACCGCGTGCTCGTTCAGGGGGAGAACCTGGTGATGCAGAAGGTGACCCGGCACGCTCAGGGAAGGTACCAGTGTCGCGTCACCAACACCATCGATACTGTGACCAGCTCCGCCACAATCCTTAACGTCATGTGTAAGGCAACTGTGTAAATGTACTATGGATAGGAGAGTTCTTTTTCATGCAAGCATTGCATCTTACACTCATTAAACCTTTATACGTAGTGTGCCTATATACAGAGCCTACAATTAAAACTCATGGAAGCTGGTTTAATGACTAATATTGGTGAAGTTTAATGATAGTCATTGTTTATGAGTTAACGAAATGAGGACACCACTTTACAATATCCTGGATTCAGAACCTGGGTATAAGCAGTGACAAACAAAAAGCTTTCTCTCTGCAGTTGCGCCGGAGTGCAAGAAGCCACGGAACGAGACAGTGTCGGTGACCCCAAACGAAGAGGTCAAACTCAACTGCTTGGTTGAAGCCAATCCGCCTGATGTGAGTTATTTTTTAGCTTTTGTCACTATTTTAAACAAAGTATATACACGGTTAAATTACTGCCTGATGTTTATCCCTTTATCTACTGATAATCATATCCATAACTGCCCTTAGGTCACGTTCGTTTGGAAGATCAACAGCAGCCGCGGCGTCAAGGAGCTGGACAGCAGCAGCTACAGCAGCCGCAGTCGGTCCTCCACGCTCGTGTACCGCCCCAGCACGCATGCCCACGGCACCGACCACTACGGTGTCGTCTTCTGCCTCGGCAGCAATAAGGCCGGGAAGCAGAGATTGCCGTGCATGTTCGTCATCAGCCCCGCAGGTCTGCTCTTCCCCCGGATTGTTCATGTGCATGATTCATCAGTCCTGCAAAACTACAGTATCTTTGTTGCGCGTCATACGACAGGTGTTGAGTGCAGCCATTACTGTACTCCCATGTCTATCCCACTGTATAAGTGCCGTATTTTTGTAAAATTCGAACACATATGCTGACTCAGCTTGGCTTGCATGTGACAGGACAAAATACTGAATACCATGACTTATACAGTGTAATGACCTAACAAGTTTTGTACCCAGCAGGTCCCCCAGAAAAGCCCAAGTCCTGCACCCTAGTCAACCAAAGCCCAACGTCGTTGGCGGTGACGTGTCAGCCCGGCCACGACGGCGGCCTCGATCAGCACTTCATTGCCACGGTATTTGCATGTTTCACTGTGGTCACTGCGAGTGCCAGAAAAAGGACGACTGGATTCCTTATGCTGTGTTGATGATAAACAACACACACTCATACACACGCCAACACACATACACATGCCTAAATATAAACATACGTGTATGCGTGAAACAGGACATTTAAAAAAGGGAAATGTATTATATTAACGCAGTTACGGTAAGAATTGCTGTCTCTGTCCCACGTTATTGCTTCGTTTGTCAGTAGCTGTTTGTTGCAGGTTGAGGACGCAGCAACGCGAAGGGTGGTTGCAAACGTAACGTCGACGTCGCCTGACCTGACGGTGGAAGGACTGGCTCCGGGACGCGATTACCTGGTCAAGGTCACGGCCGTCAACCAGAAGGGAAGGTCTTCTCCGTTCACGCTCGAGGGCTTCGCTCTCAAGGTGGCCGAAAATAAGATAAGTGAGTAG